AATCAACAAGAAAAAAAGCCAAACTGCACCACCAAAATGGAAGATTAGGCTGCAAAATAAGATCAATATGCTAAACTCAGATGCAAGCAAACTGGAATGGTTAAAAGACGCTGAAGAACAAGATGACCAAAGAATATCTAATTAAGAAATATTACTTAGAAACAAGGAAGATTAAGAACACACTGGAAATAATTCAGCGGCAAATAACAATAGCCAAGAAAATCAGCAGATATGAAGCTTGAATTGAACATTATAGGTAGAATCTCACATTTCAGCTGAATTGGAAACATATCTACCAAGTCATCCATGGAGAAACTGTACTGAACCAATCCACACCTGACAAAGAAGAAATAATGCAGTTTTAAGCTCAACTATGGAGATTTCTCAAAAAATATAACAAGAATGCGGCTTGGATAGAGGTGAATAAGAATTAAAAAAGAAGCTGAACTGATAGTGCTTGGAATTCAAGAAATCACTCTGGGCTTGAATGAGTAGTTGAAAAAACATCTTGCAAAAAAAAAAAAAAACAATGGCAGAACACCTTTGTATTAATCACTATAGCAGTCTCCTACTACAATACAAATCTGATTCATTAATATAGAGATAATACCTATGGAGTTATAGATTATAGGATTTACCATACAACAGCATCCAAAAGAGTACCGGTTTCCTGTCATTTGCTTTAATAGTGCTAATTGGGATAATGATACACTTATACACACATAGAGATGCACACATAAACACACACACAAGCATATTTTCCTTAGCTAGGAAATCATATGTACAATGCTCATAACAGGTAGTGTAATGCAACATATTATGCAAATTAGTGCATGTATGTATATGAGAGTTTTAATTCCAAGCTTTATTTTTCATAGAATCTGGAATATACATATTCTGGAAAGTCAAGAGTAAGAGATTTAATACAAACTAAGTATCAGTTCTGTCTTCTGCCCATCTTTTGTCTGTTTCCTAATTATTTTAATAGATGCAATGAAATGTCTCAGATATTAATTTTGGTGCAGGCTAAGATTTCCCCTCTGATGACTAGAAGTTCTGCTTTGCAAACTTTGCATTTTATGGCTGAAATTCAAAATATTTTCTGGGGCATATGACTTGATAATTATCTAACACGGTATTCTTTTGGTAAGCTTCTGTCAAAGCAGTGGTTGTACTGTCATTTGCACCGATTGTTTCCTTATTTAAAATGTTAAATGCTGGACTATAGCACTCTTTAACTTCCAAACTATATAAAGGTCATTTCTTTAATTAGCCCTTAAAAATCCTGAATATCAGTCATAAGTTCCATGGAAACCAGCTTAACTTTTTTGTGTGTGTGAGAGAGGGTATTAGAAACAGACTAGCCATTTTATTTTGGAAACCTGATTTCCTTTCCTTTCCTTTCCTGTATATCTAAACATGATTCAGACTCTGGGGTTTC